CATTAAGGTTTCTTTCAGTTCACGGGTGATTGGTGTCTATATTTCTCAAGGTTTCTGTCAGTTCACGGGTGATTGGTGTCTGTATTTCTCAAGGTTTCTGTCAGTTCACGGGTGATTGGTGTATATATCTCTCCAGGTTTCTCTCAGTTCACGGGTGATTGGTGTATTTCTCTAGGTTTCTGTCAGTTCACGGGTGATTGGTGTCTGTATTTCTCAGGGTTTCTGTCAGTTCACGGGTGATAGGTGTATATATCTCTCAAGCTTTCTGTCAGTTCACGGGTGACTGGTGTCTGTACTTAACAAGGTTTCTGTCAGTTCACGGGTGATTGGTGTCTGTATTTATCAAGGTTTCTGTCAGTTCACGGGTGGTTGGTGTATGTATTTCTCAAGGTTTCTGTCAGTTCACGGGTGATTGGTGTATGTATTTCTCAAGGTTTCTGTCAGTTCACGGGTGATTTGTGTATGTATTTTTCAAGGTCGGCTGTCAGGTGAAATGCCATATACTCAAACCTGTAAGAAGTGTCCTGTAATTATAATGACCAGACTTGTTTATTGTCTAGGTGATGTTAAACACAGAGCTTCCAGCAAGAGAAAAGTCTGCCATGACTAATATTTTGTCACAAGGTTTCCTCCAAGCTCAACAAAACCTGGAGCCAACTGTTCTCCCAATGTCCATGTTGAACCTTTCCACTTTTGTGACGACAGATCCATCCAGATTAAAGACTTCTGGGTTTCAGCAGGATAACCATCTGGATCATATGGTTTACTCTCTTCTTCAACTGTACTCAGAGAAACTTGTCAATATGGTCGGGCAGAAAATGAGTAAGGGCCTAGAAAAATCAGACTAATGTTCTGATAGATAATCAGATGATTTGAGTAATCGGTGGATGTTAATGTTAAATAATTGGTAGATGTTTAAATCTTAAGTCATCTCTGAATGTTTAATGGAGTGATTTTTAGATGAATTAAACAAAACAGTATGGATAGATGGAAGTATCTTCAATAAAGTAATTTGTAAATGCAAAATTGACCAGAAACTTATTCTAGTTTACTTGAGACATTTATATGTATAATGTTAGCTTAACTTGTACTTCTGTTGTTTCAGAATGATTAATGTAATATTAATTGTTAAAAAGATGATTTCTTTCTTTTGAATAGTTAGCTATAACTTATACCTTTTGCATGTGAAAGAGACACTTTACGTTGGTTATTACTGACAGTGTGGTGTTTTAAACAGTACCTTACTTAGGGTTTGCAGAAAATTTCACTTTTTACTAAAATAATTAGTTTAGTTTAAGAAACAATTAAACAAATACTTTAAACCCAAAACTGGGTTTGTTTAATTTTTTTTATCAACCTTTGTCAATCTATAGACCCAATACTTACACATTTGATAAACAAAAATGCAGGTATAGTTGAGCATGGCATGAGTCCTGGAAGTTTAATCTGGATTTTGGAAGAATCCTGGTATTTTGATAAAACAATCGCAGAGAATTTATTTTCATTTAGAAAACATATCTGGCTAAAACAGTAGTTATTTTAACTGTCTGTCTTATCTGTATAAACTTGAATAGATATTTAGAAACATTTCACCAGTTTCAGTAGAAGAGTCCACATTTCATCAGCTTATTATATTTTTAACACTTTTTTTTCCGTTCCTTAGGAATATTCAAGAGCTAAAAGAGTGTATAATAATATTATTTCAACCACACATTGTTTACAATTTACATAGCTTTAGACTTTTTTCATTCTTGAAAATCCCTAAGGTATTTAGGATATAGAATGTAGCGTTTATAAACATAATAGAAATAATAATGAGTTACGACAAGTACACTGAATGGTCACAAGTAAATAGACATCTAATTTTTCGTCATTTAACTGATTTATGCTAACTAATTTGGGTTCACAGAGCACTATATAAATGAAAATGGTCCGCACACTAATTATCTTTTGCTACAACATGCCTAGAACTCAAGGTTCTCTCGAATTGTCAGATTTTGTTAGAGGAAGGATAGTTGGTCAAGCAGATGGTGGAATAAGTCAGCGGCAAATTTCTCAGAATTTGGGAATCCCGCTTTCGATAGTCAACAGAATCATCGTGCAGTTCAGGAAACACAGCAAGGAAACAACTGAGCAGCATCTGGGTCGTCCTGGTCCATCGGAGAAAACAAAAAGAGCTGTCAAGAGGAGCATCGAAATGGATCTCAGATTAACGACTGCAGAAGTGGCCAAAGTTGGTGGGATGAGCCCGAAATCTGTTCAACGGATTCTCCACAGATTGGGTTATCGTTGCAGAGCAGCTAGATGGAAGCTCTTATTAAGACCTGCCAACATCGTCAGACGAAAGAAGTGGGCAAGTGATATAATGACCAAGCCTCTGGACTTTTGGAAGACCGTATTGTTCTCAGACGAATCAAGATTCGCTCAATTTTCGAACAGTGGAAGGATATGGGTCTGGAGAATGCCTCACCAAGAGTTTTGGCTCAAAAGATTGCAGCCAACTGTAAAGCATGGTGGTTTCAGTGTGGTGGTTTGGGGAGCTGTTTGGTTTGGTGGGAGATCGAGCTTAGTGGAGAGCGTTGGCAACATAAATTTTGCGAAATGGGTCGAAATATTGGAGGAAGGAC